TTTCTTCATGTTGATTTAATCATTTTTCATAATCTTTTTGTTTATTAAAATATATTAAAGCTTTTTTTCCGAACATTACGAATTAATTCATTTTGATCTTCCGAATATTGATTTATAGAATTATTTGATATATTTTCTTTATTTAAATATTCTCGAAAATTTAATATAAATTGGACGTTTAGATGTACGTTGTCGATGAGCATGATTAATTTGATTATCATCAAAATATAAATGAGCAAAATATTTTTCTTCAATAATCCATTGAAAAAAATCATTTTCATTGTTAAAATCTTTTATATATTGTTCATAATTATAACCAAGAAAATCAAATATATCTTTAACATTTGTTGATAAGATTAATTTAGTTGATGTTGTTGTTGAATCAAATTCTTTTGTATGTATATTCATCCAAAGACCTTGTATAACATATTTTAAATCTATTTTATGAGAAATATTTCCAATTAAACCTCCTAAATCTGAATATGATAAATAAACAATTGTATTTTCAAATATATATTTTTCAACAAGAATAAAATCAATTTGAAATTTTTTCAAAATCAAATGAATAAACATCACCATTATGACATATTTCTGTTGGATGAAATAATTCTTCAATTAGATTTCGAATATTTAATGATGATGTACTATATACAATAAGAACATCAAGATCGCCAAATGATTCTTTACATAGAAATTCTTTGGGAACATCATATTGATCAATATGTCCTCGAAGTTTATTTAAAATAATTTCTTTTAATAAATAATATTCATCTCGTGCATAACATCGTGTTACAACATTTTTTAATGCATTTTCACCCATGATCTTCTTCTATACTTGCTTTGTTTTTTTCAATTATTGCACTTCTACATGTCTTATTTATCAATAAAAAAACAGTCTCATGCAATAGTTGTTATTGCTCAATTACTAAGGAAAATGTTGCAATTATAACGACAGACTTAATTATCAGTCTTTTTTTAAAAGAAAATATTTACCAAATTTGATTATTTATGTTTATTCATATTAGAACTGTTATCAATAAAAAAAAAACCCTTCATCAAAATGTTTCATTATTAATATCTTCAATTATTAAATTTTGACCTTCATTATTTAAAAATCGGATTGAAATCAATTTGGATATGAACTGTAGTCGAAATAAATATATTCATTTTGTTTTTGACCATTTATTTCTAAGAAAAAAATTCAATTTTCTATAATAATTCATAGTTTTCCCTTCATATATCATGACAGTCAAAAATCATTTGTTTCTTTTTGTGTACTCAAAAAGTGAGTACACTACTAAAATCGGTCTGTGTGTCCGTCCGGCCGTCCGGCCGTTTACACGATAACTTTCGAAAGGAGAGTCAGATTGCGATGAAATTTTCTACAC